GCCCCCGCCAGGCTGCCGGCCGGGCCCTGCCCTCACCTTTCCGCCTGAAGAAGGACATGGTGCCGGGGGAGGGGGCAGCGGGCCGGGCTCCTATGAATGAGACTCCTTCCTCCTCCTGCCGCCGCCTCTCCCGCCGCCTCTCCCTCCCGCGGTGCCGCCAGCGGCCGCCATATTGTCAACAACCGCCACCGCCAGGCTCCCTCTTCCGGGGGAACGGAGGAGAGGAGCGGGAGGGAGGCGGAGCTCGTGAAGCATCACGGGAAACCGCGGGACGGCCATGCCCGAGGCCTCGTGCCCTCTCCCAAGATGGCTACCCGGGCGTCGGGCCGCCATGCTAAGTACGGGAGAGACAAAGGGACCCAGAGCCAGTAGCCATCTTGGATAATGGCAAAATGCCCCGGCAAAGGGGGAACCTAGCAGCCATTTTGGGTAAGGGCGGAAGGCTCCTGAGAGAGTGAGGCCCGGTCAGCCATGTTGGATAAGGGCAAGAAGCCGCAGACATGAGGAAGGGGGGTTTAATCCCCATGTTAAAGGCTGGGGGCGGGAAGGAAAATGTCAGTTTGGCCAATGGGGCAAACTCAGCCCTTATGATGCAGTATTGGCTGTGCTGTGGCGTCATCAATGTACCAACAGGCTGCATCAGGACCCCATGATGTCATGCCCAAACGTCATAATGCTGAGATGTGATGTCATCATGGTGGCTTATCACTGTGTAGCCCACTGTGCACTTAGACCACTGACAGCCAGAGATCAGAACCAGGAGCCCTACAGCCTAAGCTAAGAATCAGCTGGCTTTTAGCTCACTCTGTAGAGACTCCTACATTAAGCTCCAGAGGTCCCACTTCAAATCCACCAGGTGGTGGTTACAGTTGCATCATAGGATACTGAAACATGACTCACATGGGACCATGTCAACACACCTTCACAGCCATGTAGGGTTGCCAGTTGTGGTTGGACTTATTCCTATCACATGACATAATCTGTATAGCCTAAGACTCCAGGACAATCCTACAGGGAGGAGTGAACTCTGCCGCGGGTGGGGCATAGTGAGGGCAGCTAGCTTCAGCAATGTTACACAGCATGTTAGTACAAGGAAAAAAAATCTAGGGGAGGGTCACATGACCCATCATGCCCCCTCCCCCCGTATAGGTCACTTCTGCCTGGGGTTGACAATTCTACTGTCATGTGACATCACAACAGAGCAAATCCTTATTCTCGCCACATGATACCATCACACTGAAGTAATATCAAAGATCCCACCCTACCTAGACATAGCCGGGACTTAGCGATACTTTGACTTGTGATGGTGGGGCTGCACAGACGGCGACTGTAAGGGTTGGTCTGTCTCCTGGACCCTCAATAGAAAATCCTCTTTGCTTTCAGACAATCAAACATTTAGACATCTGTCAGGGATGGTGTAGGTGGAGCTTGGTCCTGCCTTGAGGGCGGGGGGCTGGACTCGATGACCTCTTGAGGTCCCTTCCAGTCCTATGATTCTATGATTCTATTATTATTTCTCTACCACAAAGAACACAACATTGCCATGATTACTTCTAAAGAGCTGTACATGTACCAAGTCCTTTACAAACAGTTGGGAAAACAAAATGAAATTCTCTGCCCTGAGAAGAATAGAATCTAATTCTGACAACACGGGAACATAAAAACTGCCATTCTCTATCAAATCCATTGCCCATTTAGCCCAATAAACTCTTTCCAACAGTGGCTTGGATCAGTTACTTCAGAGGAAAGTGTAAAGCCCAATAATACAAACTAAAACAGCCTGCCTCTGGGGTAAGATTCTGCCAAACCCCAACTATAGGTGTAAAAAGTAGTTTCTGAATTCAGTCATAGCTAATATCTGTCACCAAGATAGCTATTCTAACCTTGCAAAACACCCATAATGCAAAGACATATGTGATATGATTAACACACTATCGGTATGTCTACACTAGCCCCCTAGTTCGAACTAGGGAGGCTAATGAAGGTGACCGAAATTGCAAATGAACTGCGGGATTTAAATATCCCGCGCTTCATTAGCATGTTCCTGGGCGGTCGCCATTTTGAAAACTGACTAGCCCGGAATAACTGCCCGCGTCTACACGCGGCAGTGAAACGGGAGTTCGAAGTAAACCCCTTAACTCGAATTAGCTGTTAAACCTAATTCCATGAGGAGTAACAGCTAATTCGAGTTAAGGGGTTTACTTCGAACTCCCGTTTCACTGCCGCGTGTAGACGCGGGCAGTTATTCCGGGCTAGTCAGTTTTCAAAATGGCGACCGCCCAGGAACATGCTAATGAAGCGCGGGATATTTAAATCCCGCAGTTCATTTGCAATTTCGGTCACCTTCATTAGCCTCCCTAGTTCGAACTAGGGGGCTAGTGTAGACATACCGATAGTGTGTTAATCATATCACATATGTCTTTGCATTATGGGTGTTTTGCAAGGTTAGAATAGCTATCTTGGTGACAGATATTAGCTATGACTGAATTCAGAAACTACTTTTTACACCTATAGTTGGGGTTTGGCAGAATCTTACCCCAGAGGCAGGCTGTTTTAGTTTGTATTATTGGGCTTTACACTTTCCTCTGAAGTAACTGATCCAAACCACTGTTGGAAAGAGTTTATTGGGCTAAATGGGCAATGGATTTGATAGAGAATGGCAGTTTTTATGTTCCCGTGTTGTCAGAATTAGATTCTATTCTTCTCAGGGCAGAGAATTTCATTTTGTTTTCCCAACTGTTTGTAAAGGACTTGGTACATGTACAGCTCTTTAGAAGTAATCATGGCAATGTTGTGTTCTTTGTGAGACCACATTAGCAGCCTGGCAGGTATCTGAGTGTGATACCATGTTTATTTCAGCCACCCCTGTTTTTCATGGAATGGACCCCTTGATCCAAGTAGACAGCCATAGCTACACCTGTTCAACCACATGGTGGAAAAGCTTCCATCATAGCTATTATAATGCCAACAGGTGGCACCAAAGCTGGGACCTCTGGAGTTCAGTGCGTGAGCCTCCACCACAAGCCAAAAGCCAGCTGGCTCTCAGCTAAGCCTGTAAAGCGGACTCATTATTCCCTCTGTATGTGGTATAGGGGCCACTAGGTGGGACAGCGCACCGTACCCACTAAGTATGTGGGCTACACTACCTTCCATGGAGCTGCGCCTGTGGTGAATTATGGGCCCATTTAATTAATACAGTGAAAATCAGAGAGTTTGATCAGCCATAGAACTCGAGTGACGTCCTCGCGCCACTGAAGTCAATGGGAGTTTTGCCATTGACATGAGGCAGGAGGAGATTTCAACCAAGAAACCTTGACTCTCAGCACCATGCTTTAATCACACAGATAAAATCAAAGGCATCCAAAGAAATGAATGCACTTTCTCATAAACGTACCTGGCTTTTAACTAGGCACAGTGTGGCAGTATTCATGGTACAAGTTAAACCTCTCTAATCCAGCACCCTCAGGGCCTGACCACAGAATGTAATCAAACCAGAGAATTTACTAGACCATAGGAGGTCAATATTGTCCAGCAGCATCATCAACACTTCCACTGCTTCCTGGGCTCTTAGAAGACATGTAGGGGTAAATTAGAGCTAAATAACAGCACAGAACACTGAGAGCCAGGACTGATGGCTGTAAACAAACTTTATGAGATTGAAGGAAATTTGGCCACACGCACCATAACTGGGCTAAGGACATCTGGCTAACTAAAATCATGTCAGACCATGGATGGTGCTGGAACAAAGAGCATTTTCAAGTGGGCTGGTGCTGCCGGTCAGGAGACACTTAGGTAAACTCCTCCCAGCCAGTGCCTGCCTCTGGCACCCCAACCCCTCCTGCACCCCAACTTCCTCCCTCAGATCAGCATCCAAACCCTCTGCACCCCCTGCCCCAGGTGACACCACCCTTCCGGACCCTATACCTCTTCCTACACTCCTCCCCAAGGCCAGAATCCTCTCCCGCACCCACACTCCCTCCCTGATCCTATACTCCAATC